TCAACTTGTCGGTTTTTCAAACCATTCATCACATAGCCATCCTATTGACTGGTCTTCTGCTAAAACTGTCTTCAATACTTCCAACTCGAACAGTCGCCGTCTAGTTGAATCCTCTCTAATACACAACTTTCCTTGTATGAACCTTAGCCCTGGCTTCGTCTCTGTAGATGCCTTCCTCTCCCACTACATTGTAAAATGCTCCAAACTTCAGAACACTCGTGATTTAACCTGATTCCTCACTTTTTCTTTTTCTTCTTCTTTTTCTTCTTCCTCTTCCCCTTTCCTCTCTCCTTTTCTCCTCTGGGTTGTCTTTCTCTCTCCTGTCTCGTGTTTCTGTTCCTTCTTCATTTATTTTATTTCACCACTTCCCCTTTCACGCACCTCTGTGCGCTTGCTCTCCCTCTGTGGGTATCTAGCTCTCTTGCAGTGCTCCCCTTCCTTTGTACTTGACTGGCTCGTCTTCCTTATTTCCCACTTCTTCCGCTACCACTACTACTACCTCTTCTTCTTCTACTACAACTACTGTTGAAATTAAGACACATGTGCGGCGTCTGGCTGTCTTTGTTGTGGACGTTTCGCCATCCTGTGGCTGGCTGGATGGCGAAACGTCTACGATGGGGATGCCCGGGTGTTGTGCATGTCTCTTAATTTCATCCTGTCGGTATTATATACAATTCTTGTACTACTACTACTACTACTACTACTACTACTACCACCTCTTCCTGCCTATATATAGCCGTCCTGCTCCACCTCTGTTAGTGTGACTTTGTCAATGGTCCAAGTCGGACCGAAACGTCGTCGTAAGCTTCTCTCTTTTATGTGCGGGTTATTTGTGTATTGTTCCAGTCACGGTATTGTGCCTTTTTGTTATTTACGTACTAGTACGACCAAAACCCTCAAAGGGTTAAAGGAGGGGTTTGGGATATTGGCAATTTGGAAGGATATGTTGTGTATCTTTATATGTATATGCTTCTAAACTGTTGTATTCTGAGCACCTCTACAAAAACAGTGATAATGTGTGAGTGTGGTGAAAGTGTTGAATGATGATGAATGTATTTTCTTTTTGGGGATTTTCTTTCTTTTTTGGGTCACCCTGCCTCGGTGGGAGACGGCCGACTTGTTGAAAAAAAAAAATACATTGCATATAAACATTGCATGTTTTTATATACTATGTAATGTGTTTCTTATATGATTTTGAAGAAAATATCATAGATGGATAGAATTTCGGCCAAAAAAGCAGCTGAAATCTAACTTGGCCAATATCCGGGGTCCACTGTATGTGGGAATATAATGAATATTGTACTACTGTATCATTAAAATTATAAACTTTTTCAAATTGGACATTGTTCAGTGTTAGTAAAGCTTGAATCCTAAACCAGCATTAATTTCAATATTGTACTGATACTGGTTGAAACCAATCACCGACAGCCACAACTAATGGCATCCAGGTCACTAATTTGGATCTTCTTTAGGTAGCCATCTTGCCACACAAAAAAGTTCTTGTACTGATAGTGGACGGGTGTGCACTGTGGTGCTGGTACCTGGCTTGACTTCCCAAGGAACCTGAGGAAGTGAGGAAGTTACAATGGTGTTTTTTCTCTATGGTCAGACATGCTAAGATAACATAAAACAAATAATTTATGCAAGATAATGTAAATATTGATGCTCTTTTAACCTTTCAGTGGCCATCATGCAGCACTACATCACTGAGGCCCGGGTCTTTCATGTAGTTTTGTGTCATGAGCTCAGATTGTTCAGGTAAGCTGTGAGCAGTAAATTTTGGCCTAGATATAGAAAGAATGGGTCTGCAGTGGGTGTGCCCAGAATAAAAAAAAAATTGTGCCCAACACTGCATGATGGGAAGAGCAAAACAACAGCAATTACAGAAACAAAACTACAACTTCTCTTGCTGCTGCTCTTGCTGCTTCCATTCCTAGGTAGCACTCTTGTCATCATGGTGTGGATTGCTTAGGATTTTTTTCTTTGACACCTTTCAAAAGGGGTGCCTTCATGATGGCAAAAGGCTTTGATCCAAGGGATTGATGTTACTCTTCCCTTTGGATCAAAGTTGATTCTCTCCCATTCCCCAGATGTTACATGACACCTACAAGTTAAACCTGATTACCCCTTCCATCCCCAAGGTGCTGTATGAATTTTAAGGTTTTAAGAATTTCCTATCTCTGTTATAATTAAGTGTTAAACCCATAAGGGCTTTCAGCACCTGAGGATTGAGAAGTAATCAAGGTTGCTTTGAGGAAGTGAAAGGAAGGTAGTTCCAAATTCTTGAATCAAAGAACCCTTCTTTAGTATCAAGGCACCTTTGAAAGTAGCATATCCTCACGAATATCATATATAGTTAATCGGAAATGTGTATAAATTGCTAACCATGTACTTGTGATCAGTTTCGAGAGCTCTACTGCCCCTACCATACCATACATTCAAAAACTATATTGAACTACATATAATTTGAATTAATGATTTGTAAATTAAATATTACTGCTATAAAGCATGAGACATTTCAGTATATGACAATCTAATTACAGTGTGTACTTTGTGATGTAATATTACTATTCAGTATTGCAGCAACACTGTTGCCCTAACCTATATTTACTATAAAATCTACTGAATACATCTGTGATTGTGATCTATAGAAATAGTTTCCGTATGTGATAATTTTAAGAATACCACTGCATAATTTGGGTTTCATTGTGTGGGTTTGTAAGATATGTTAAATTACAGCCTAACCAGAAACTGGATGGGTGATTACATAATCACAGCCTTGCCCTTAGCTACTGGGTTAATGTACACTGTTCTTGCCTGTGTGCCATATGCACCCATATTTGTGATGAACAGATGCTGCATGATTCCTATGAACATCATAAATGCAGGAGGTACTCACTTAAACTTGGCCCTGATGAGTGCATTGGTAGAGAAGATGGTAGGATGATCAAGGATGTGGCAGGAGCCCAGACAAAATTTGAGTTGGAGAATAGTTGGATACACCACCTGAAGAAGACCCAGCTCCTCAATGGTCACACTCACCATAGACACCTGAAACAAATACCCAACATGCAAATTCATATATGGAATAAATATCTTATTATGTTGAGAGGAAGAAACAATAAAATAAAAAAAGTAGTGGTAGTAACACAAGAGACTTAGTGGAGTGTAGTAAGGCAATAGTAGTAGTGGAGGAAGTCTAAGGACAAGAAAAGGAAGCACTACAGGAGAGCTAATGACCTCTGGCTCTGCTATGTAGACGTCTTTGCTCTTTGGCCAAGTGATTAGCCTTTTCCAACCATTTCTTGATGCATTTAACAGTCCTGTTCATTCCATCAAGCTCAAAGCTGAATGGGAATCTAACTTACTGCTTCCTTTCCTTGATGTGCATGTCCATTGCATGGCTCCAGGGTTTTCCTTTTCTGTTTACCTCAAGCTCCCTCTGTCAAGAGGTGTATTCTTATTTCTGTCTTTCTTGTAACCCCTAGTTCTCTGACTGAAATTTCCACTCTTTACAATTTGTTCTTTCATCTTGGCTGCCCTTCAGATTTCATAAACTACTTTCTCATGTGTTAAATGCACTTTCTTCTCTCTCAAATACTCTACCCCTGTGAAATCTCCTGCTCTTTGTCTTCCCTATATTTCCAGTCTCTCAAATCTTAACACACTGTTCCCTAGCCATCAACTTTTCATCAAACTAACACTTTTCGTAGTAATCCAGTTTGTACCTCTCCTGCTACTGACATTTCCAGAATATACTCCATTTCCTGTTCCTCTTGTCCTCTCCAATACTTTGGAGAAACTGGCTGCTCTCTCTCTGACAGACTTAAAGAGCACAAAAGATGTGTTAGATTTGCCAACACCAATGTTAGAGATAAGTCATTCTACTGACTGGTCCTCTGCCAAAACTGTCTACCCTTCTTTAAGCCTTCACTGATGCCATCTTATTGAAGCATTACTTATACACAACTTCCCTAATATGAATCTTAGTCCTGGCTTTGTTCCTGTAGATGCCTTCTTTCCTCATTACAATGTCAAATTGTCCAAACTTAAGAACACGTGTAACTTCACCTGATTTTGTATCTACTCCTCTCCTTACCTCTTCATTCCTATATTTTGTTTGCATTTCCTTTCTACTGCCTAGGTGTGTTTTGTCCTATTAGTTTGTCCCCCTCCCCCCCTCCTGTGTTTTTAGTCCCACCCTTGTGGGTCCTTTTTCTTGCCTTAATCTTCCTCTGCTACTATTACTATTACTTCACTACACTCCACTCTCTTGTCACTACCCCTACCTACTACTACCACCATCACTGCTAGCTCTGCTACTACTATCACTATTTCCATCATACTGTTATTTCTTCTTTCTTTCTCTCTCTCCTATCCCAGCCCCCCCCCCTCATATGTACATGTATGCACTAGCTCCTCACCTTCGTGCTTCTGTGTGTGGCTAATTAATGATCCAGTTGCACTGAAACATTGTCATAAGTTTTTCTCTTTTCTGCAGGTTATTTATGTATTGTATCCAGCAGCTGTCCCCTTGGGCTCTTGATCCAAGGAATTAGACCCACCACCCTCTTTTCTTGATCAAACCTGAATGCCTCCTATTCCTCCCAAAGTACTGTAAGACCCTTATGGGTTGATTGCTGCCCTTTGAATGTGATGAATCTAGGAGCAAATAACATGTTTTTTGACAGTTTTTATTTTCATCCTCAAAATTTTTTGTCATTTATTTGTAATGGGGATTGATTTTGTGGTTACTGAAGAGGTGAGAGAAGTGTATATGTGAAAAGTGTGAGACTTATTTAATAATTAATTCTACTTAAACAAAATGTTTATTAAGATTTATAAGAATATCTTCTTTATCTTAACCCATAAACGGTCCATGTATACGTTTTTTCAACATTTGATAGTATGTAAAAAAAAGTAGATCATCATTTTTTGTTTTTTTTTTACATTTGAAAACATGTAAAAAAACTTTGATGTGTTTTTTTTTTTTTTTTGTTATATTTGAAATTTTTTTTTTTTTTTTTTTTTTTTCAACAAGTCGGCCGTCTCCCACCGAGGCAGGGTGACCCAAAAAAAAGAAAGAAAATCCCCAAAAAGAAAATACTTTCATCATCATTCAACACTTTCACCACACTCACACATTATCACTGCTTTTGCAGAGGTGCTCAGAATACAACAGTTTAGAAGCATATATGTATAGAGATACACAACATATCCCTCCAAACTGCCAATATCCCAAACCCCTCCTTTAAAGTGCAGGCATTGTACTTCCCATTTCCAGGACTCAAGTCCGACTATATGAAAATAACCGGTTTCCCTGAATCCCTTCACTAAATATTACCCTGCTCACACTCCAACAGATCGTCAGGTCCCAAGTATCATTCGTCTCCATTCACTCCTATCTAACACGCTCACGCACGCTTGCTGGAAGTCCAAGCCCCTCACCCACAAAACCTCCTTTACCCCTTTTGGAGCACTACGCATGTGAATGTAGATCTGCTTGGACCATTTACGGGTTAACCACAAGTCTCTCTAGTTAGTCACTTCTTCACATATTTACATGTGGTGCTGCGATGCCACAATCAAGACTCATATCTTATGTGTCAGGTATGAAAGATGAGGTGAATCATAGAATTGATGAGGGAAAAAGAGTGAGTGGTGCACTTAGGAGTCTGTGGAGACAAAGAACTTTGTCCTTGGAGGCAAAGAGGGGAATGTATGAGAGTATAGTTTTACCAACGCTCTTATATGGGTGTGAAGCGTGGGTGATGACTGTTGCAGCGAGGAGAAGGCTGGAGGCAGTGGAGATGTCATGTCTGAGGGCAATGTGTGGTGTGAATATAATGCAGAGAATTCGTAGTTTGGAAGTTAGGAGGAGGTGCGGGATTACCAAAACTGTTGTCCAGAGGGCTGAGGAAGGGTTGTTGAGGTGGTTCGGACATGTAGAGAGAATGGAGCGAAACAGAATGACTTCAAGAGTGTATCAGTCTGTAGTGGAAGGAAGGCGGGGTAGGGGTCGGCCTAGGAAGGGTTGGAGGGAGGGGGTAAAGGAGGTTTTGTGTGCGAGGGGCTTGGACTTCCAGCAGGCATGCGTGAGCGTGTTTGATAGGAGTGAATGGAGACAAATGGTTTTTAATACTTGACGTGCTGTTGGAGTGTGAGCAAAGTAACATTTATGAAGGGATTCAGGGAAACCGGCAGGCCGGACTTGAGTCCTGGAGATGGGAAGTACAGTGCCTGCACTCTGAAGGAGGGGTGTTAATTTGCATTTTTAAAAACGTGTGTAAAAGCACCCTTCGGTAAGCGTGAGGGAGTGAAGATGGTGAAAGTTTTTTTTTTTCGGCCCCCCTCCCTTGGTGGGAATCGGGCCATGTGAAAATATAATATAATATATCAATTAGGGCTTTTTTTAATCATCAATTCAATCAAATATGTGGAAATACCACTAAAAAGAAGAACAGAGATCTTTATTTTGAGGCCAGAAGTATCCACACTGATTTTCTAAAGATGCCTCTTGGAGCCCTGATAGCCAAATCTACATCAAGGAAAGGTCCCTTATTTTCCCATTTTACTATAAGCTGTAAGTCCTTTCTGGGTGTGGGTATGATGGGGAAAACGAAGGTAACATTCTAGGCAGCCCACAGAATTATGTTATTAATGTATATACTGTTTGTCACGTAACAGGACATAAATTGATCCAAGAAATACTTTAAAACTATTAACGCAGTGCAAATAAATTTTTTAAATTTAAAATTCCTCGAATATAGTTCAAGCTTTCTGAGCAATTTCAGTGAAGTTAAAAAACTAGAGGAGAAACACCCATATTTTAAAACAGGGCCGAACTTACGGGGTTGCCAGGGGGGGCGAGAAAGGGGTTGTAAAGGGGTGGGGCGGCTATATTTTTCTTTGGGTGGGTTAAAACTTTTATTTGGTGATTTACTTGAAGCACCACCAAAAACCTGAAGGGGGGCCCTTTTTCTTTAAAAAAAAACCCATAGGTTTAAAAATTTTTTAAAAATTTTTCCCCGTTTGTATTAAAATTGAAAATTATTCGTGGCCGGGACTTGAAAATATTATTTTTTAATCAAGGGGAAGCGCTAAACCCGGAGGGTTATACAGCCCGGGAGGGGGCTGTAAGGCACAGGGGTTTAAAAATTCGGGGAAAAAAGGAGCCAGAAACCAAAAAAACCCCAAACAAGAGCCCCCCACCAACACAAGGAACCCTTTCCCTTTAGGGGGACTTGAACACTCCCTACCAAACAATTCAGTATTCGAATGCTTCGTTCGGTAAAAAAAATCGCTCAGTAGTCAACCATTTGCTCAGCACTCGACCAAACAAGCGTGACCCGCAGGAACTTCGCTGTAAACCATTTTGTATTCGCATTATTTGGATTTATGAAGGATGAGGTTAATCATAGAACTGATGAGGGAAAAAAGATGAGTGGTGTGTTGAGGTATATGTGGAGACAAAAAAAAACATTATCTATGGAGGCAAAGAAGGGAATGTATGAAAGTATAGTAGTACCAACACTCTTATATGGGTGTGAAGCTTGGGTTGTGAATGCAGCAGCGAGGAGGCGGTTGGAGGCAGTGGATGTCCTGTCTATGGGCAATGTGTGGTGTAAATATTATGCAGAAAATTCGGAGTGTGGAAATTAGGAGAAGGTGTGGAGTTAATAAAAGTATTAGTCAGAGGGCTGAAGAGGGGTTATTGAGGTAGTTTGGTCATTTAGAGAGAATGGATCAAAGTAGAATAACATGGAGAGTGTTTAAATTTGTAGGGAAAGGAAGGCAGGGTAGGGGTCATCCTCGAAAAGGTTGGAAGGAAGGGGTAAGGGAGGTTTTGTGGGCGAGGGGCTTGGACTTCCAGCAGGCGTGCATGAGCATGTTTGATAGGAGTGAATGGAGAAGAATGGTATTTGGGACCTGACGATCTGTTGGAGTGTGAATAGGGTAATATTTAGTGAAGGGATTCAGGGAAACTGGTTATTTTTATACAGCCGGACTTGAGTCCTGGAAATGGGAAGTACAATGTCTGCACTCTAAAG